TTTTTTTTTTCATATCCTCCTGAGAGCCAGTTTATTCATTTATGTACTCTGTAGTTGACATTGGTTTTGGGGCTATATCTCTTGACTTATTTTAGCTACCCTACTAAGCCCCAATGAACTCCAAAGAGGACATCCTGGCCTTTCCAATGATATCTCAAGTGTTAGACAGACAGCAGACAGATGATAGCATAATAGAATAGAGTTAGATAGATTAGGAGTAGAGTAGATAGATAGGATTAGATAGAATAGAGTAGAGTAATAATAGATAGATAGGGAGTTAGATAGATACGTTGTATTGCCCTATTACCGCGGGGGAATTCAGGCCATTTCCAGTGATGCGCAGACGATTACAACATTACAGTTAAACAAAATCTCTAACAAGCCGTGACCTTAAGACAGATCAAAAAATAAGATAAAAGATAAGATATGGAGAAATGGATGTGCAAATACAGGTAGATTAGGATTGGATGAGGAGAAGTTTCAGGTTGAGACAAAAAAAAAAATGGAAGACATTTTTTCCTTTGTTCTTAGGAGGATATAGGTGTATACATACGCCCACATAATATTTATTTTTCATTCTTAAATAGTATTTCTTATTGTGCATTTAAGTTCTGTAGAGGTTTTTTGGGGACACCAAATCAGATAGCATCAATTCAGTGGCCCTCCTTTCTTGTTGGATGATCAAATTTGGAAAATATGAAAGCTATGAAGGCTTATGTTTTTCCCCAAAGGCCATTCTTTAGGGGGGGAAAATGAATGCTTTGTTCTGAAAATTAATTTCAGCATCTGGTAGTGGTTGTTTGCCTCATGACAATCATTAGCTCAAAGATCAAAGAGAGATCAAAGTTCATGCTGCCTTCAGAGCTCGTGAACATTACAGAAAAGTTCAGTTTCTGCATTCTCCTTTTACATTTTGATCATAAATGAATAAATATAACGTGGAAAAAGTATTTAAAACTGAATAGGCATAGTGTGTGTGTGTGTGTGTGTGCGTGGTCTTGTCAATCATCACACATAGAGCCATTTCAAGCAGTTACAAATCTTTAATTGTCAAAAGTTAACACTGTCAAATATTACTGTTTCTGTATTCGTCAGGTACGATATCTGTTTTAACCACATTTCTAAAAAGCTTTTTCTTTTCAAAGATAACTAGTTAAGTAAGTAGTAAAATATATAGTTAATACAATACCTAAATAAATAAATGATGACAATGAATCCCTATCTGTGGGAGTGGACAACAACATGGAGAAACACTGGTTCTATTTCACCAAATCCTCTTCAGAGATCACAATTTTCTGGCTAGATCAAGCCCTTCAACCTTTGAGTGTACATTTATTTGCCCTTTTAAGTTAATCAGAAAAAAACAACACAATTCTGGTGTAAAATGGTCTAGAGAAGTTTCAAGATGTATGCTGTAATGTCAATGCAGTTGGCATCTATTTAACCTTAATGAAAAGTAATTGAGAATTAAATAAAGTAGCTCCTGATCAATTAATTAAATGTTATATGCACTGCAGAAAAGAGGTTGCATTTTTGTTTAATGTTTGAATGAGAACACTATGCCTGTCCAACATTATCACACCATGCAAGTCCTTGAGGTTTCTTGCATTGCTTGATCGGCCTCACTGAATCCTGCTGTACACAGCAATATAAAGACAAATATCACAGGACATATTATTGTGAATGGCAAGCAATGCTGGGTAAGTGTCATGTAGAAAATGGGCACTGTGAAAACGTTTTTCAATCACATAAATGTGTATTCTGACTTTCTCACAATATGAAACAAAAAAACTAGAAAATAAATGACATGGTTATTTGCATTTCAAAGATTCAACATGAGAGTAGTACAGGAGTATAGGAGTAGTGTGTAGACAAAATAGCACAAACTAGTAAATCACACTCCCTCGTTCAAAATACAATATCATGTACAAGTCCGAGGGTGCATCTCTCTACGTCACCACAATGGGATCAAGAGATGCGTTCATTGCTTTCTGGTTATTATTTACATATCAAACTTTTTGCATCACTGTCAAAAGAGAAATTCACTCTCATTCGTTTCAAGCTTACCACTGCTGCGTTCAAGGGATTAGGCGTCCTTGCTCTTTCACCGGTTTACACCTTAGGGGGCGAAAGTGGGCATTTAGTGCGGACCTGGCGACCTCAAAGGCTTTGAACTACTGTATCCATGATCCAGTTTTAAATGCTTGTATGTCTATCTACATGTGCAGCCATGTAATATCTCACTGGGTGTGCACCGTGATAACAATATTCTTCCAATAAAGTTACATAATGAGACAAAAACCGCTGAAAGGAGATGACTGGAGATGAAGAGCTGCAGTAGTTTGCCAGACAGCTTGCATAGAGAAAGCTCCAGTCGTCCGCTCTCTTCCACCTTTCCTGCGACTCAAGCATGCTTCCAGAGATCCAGAAAACTGTAGAAGCGATGTTGACTTTTGCTTCTTTTGCCCTTTTTCAAATCTATTTCCATCTCCATTCTGCTTATCATGACAAAATTGTTTCATATTTACTACGTCATCATACTCCTTTTTTTGTCTTTTTGACAGTCATTAGAAATATGTGTAACAAGGGAAAATCATATATTATCTAAGATAGCCCTCAGTCAGTAAAGACAATAACAGTCAACAGACAGTTTACAAGTTTACACCCATACCCTTCATGTGGGAACACAAAGGGACAAGAAACCTTACAGCTACAGTTTTAGCTACTGTCAGTTATATAATTACTATCTTAATGAACATGAAAATGTAAAATTTGAGGGTATAAAGTGAGGAACTAAGTTTGAAAGTGATCCCCAGCTTGAGTCTACAGCAGTTGGCTTAGACAATCCTCATTTAACCCCACCCCCCCAACCCCTAAACCCTACATAAAGGTGATAATGTAACCTCCACTACCAGCGAGCCTTTTCTCAACAGATCCTCACTGGTAGGTGCAATAGGTGTCAAAATGATTGTTGTGGTCTTGTTAGTGGTGGTGCTGGTGTGTGTGTAAGTGAAGATAGTAGTGTCTCTGTGTGTATGGGTGGTGTTGGAGGGGTTCTAGGGTGGTCACACCTCGGTGCTGATGGCTCGGGTGTTGGTGTAGAAATCGGGAGGCCGTCCTCGCTGGGTCTCTCTCAGCAGGGAGCCTCGGACGGTGGGCAGCGGCATCGCCAGCGCCTGGTTCTCATAGTGTGTGGGCATGTAGGTGATGCGCTCGCCACCATTGCGCATTTCATCAGTGGTACGGATGTAGAAGGGCGAGTCATAGGGCGAGCAGGTGGGGCAGTAACTGCGTTGCCCCCCTGTGGGTTTGGAGGGGTCGGAGGATCCGGGCGGCTCTGGTGGCGACATGGACAGTGGGGTGATGATCGACCCGTCCAGGCCGGAAACACTGCAGGCGTTGCAGGCAAAGTGTTGCTGAGAGATGGAGGCACTGTCAGACCCATTCTTCTTACAGCAGTAGTACTGCAGAGGGAGAGTCCATTACATGTCAAACAGAAACAGTTTTCAGTACAGTTTGGTACACTTTAGTCTATAAGCCCACAACACTGATGTCATTGTCATTGTATAAACGCTAACTTAATTCAGTTAAAAACCTGCAAAGAAATCTGCAAATAGGGTGAGATCACTTCACTTTTTCCAATGTAATCAATAGAGCCCAAACAAATATGTTGGCTGGGCAATATTGACATTATATTGGAGGTATCATATCGGTACTGGCATACATGTTATCCAATCCAATATATTAGTGTGACTGCAAAGTTTACCCAGCAGAGTGTGCTGATATTTACAATGCTTTGGCAAGCAGCACAGAGTGAAAGACAAAAAGCAGCTCTCAGCAATGGTAACTAGAATTGGACATATATGTTAAACTATTCATACTAGATGACATAACAGGGAAACATATAGCTTCTTTGATAAAGTTATTTGTTTAAGAAAGCAGCCTTTGGAGTTCCTTTGCATAGTGATGTTGGTGCAAAATCTGTACACAATCAACACAGAAAAGGTCTATTTTCATTTCAGCTAAAACACAGTATACATCATAAACAAATACACATATTGGCTGCCATATTGATATCTGTCCCTTCTTAAATTGGTATTGCTCTCAAAAGTCCTGGCACCTATTTCTACAATATTCCTAAAACAAGAAAAGCTGCACAAGCAGAAGTTTTTGTTGTTGAAAGAAACGTGAGTATTCAAGGCTTAATAAGATTGGTGTTTCTAAGCCAAAGACAATATTTGAAAATAGTTCCATATAATTGAAATAACTAAAACGTCTTGCTGCCAGTATTATTTTCATATATCTGATGACCAATGTTGATGTTTTATTCTTCTTCTTCTCTTGCCGACAGTCTCCTGTAAGATGATGTGAGAGGCGGATGAATTTTTTTTTTGAATCTTTTACACACAGACACACACACACAAAGAGGCATACCTGGAGTCTACAGTAACAGAGCACAGCTATGATACACAGAAGTATCACTGTGGCCAGTATTCCTCCGGTTATGACAACAGTTCCAGCTGTCATCCGACCAGCTCTCCATCAAACTCTGACACAGGCACAGGAAGTGACATCATTAACAAGCGCCTCCCACTGCGCAACAAATGTGAAGTTTAATCAAATCACAGAAAGGTCAGTCTCACAGCTAACACAGATGCAATTTGCTGGAATATATTTTCTATGTAAGTATGGTAATAGAGCAAACTCAAAAGGTCATTCTGTAATTATGTGGAGAGAATTAGGTAGAGACAATGTGTCGTGTAAATGACTTAAATACAATCAGGCGTTAGTTAATACAGCTGAAATCTGACCTTGACTGACAAACTGAAACTCAATTTTGTGCAGCTAAAATTACCACATTATGTTCATCTTATCTTGTCTGAATATGAACTTAAAGGCAACTTTATTTTGAGGATGTTACATCAAGTTTTTCATTTAATGTATGTAATGCAGGCTGTGTAAAAAAAAATGAAACGTGAAAGCATGCCTTTCAAACACATATTATTCAAATTTTAAATAGAAATCTATTTTCCAAGTGGCATAAATGTTGTTGTTGTTATACTCACGTTCAGCAAAGTTGCTTAACACCTGAAAGCAGAGAAATAACAGAGGTAGTAACAATAAATGGCATATACAACAGATAGATAGATAGATAAGATGATTGAAGATAGTAGTGTAGATAATTGTAGATAGATAGATAGATATAGATGTTATTAGACTCATCAGGAGAGTGTTGAGGTTGTAGCAGTTGAGAGAAGTCAATCAAGGAGTCCAAGGTGAAGAGGTCCAACGCTGGATAGCCACACTTGCATGAACATCCTTGAGGGGGAAGAAATGAAGAAGCAAAGGAAGCAGGAATGTGAAGGATGAAATCCTCTCTCACAAACCGGGAGAAAGGGAGGAGAGATTTTCCAATTTCCTCCATTTCCTGCTTTCCTTTGCTTTTCTTCATTCTTCGCCTCCTCAGAGTGTTCATGCAGTGTGGCCTATCCCAGCGGTGGTGACCTTCTCACCTTTGAGCTCCGCTGATTTGACTCTCTCCTCTTACAACCTTACAAAAAACACTCCTCCTGATGTTTTTAATGTAATTATCTATCTATTCTTCTATCTAATCTATCCTTATCTACTTATCTATCTACTATCTATCATCCTATCTATCTATCTATCTGTGTATTGCCCATTTATGTTAATACTCTGTTATTTCTCTGCTTTCAGGTGTTAGCAGCTTGCTGAACGTGAGTTAACAAACACATTATTCCAGCTTTGGAAATAGATTTCTTATTAAAAATTTGAATAATATGTTGAAGGCTGTTCCACGTTTCCATTTTTTTTACACCGCCTGCATGTACATAGCTAAATGAAACTTGAATGTAACAATTCCTCAAAATAAAGTTGCCTTTAAGTTTCATAATTCAGAACAGATAGATGAAACATAATGTTGGTATTTTAGCTGCAAAATGAAGTTTCCAGTTTTGTCAGTCAGGTCAAGATTTCAGCCCTTGTATTAACTAACGCCTGATTGTTTTTTAGTCATTTCACGACACATTGTTTCTCGTTACTATTGCTCTCCACATAATTACAGAATTCTTTTGAAGTTTGCTCTTTACCATACTTCATTAGAAATAGTTCCCGCAAATTGCATCTGTGTTAGCTGTGAACTGACCTTTCTGTTGATTTTGATTAAAACTCACATTTTTGCCGCAGTGGGAGGCGGTTGTTATGAGTCACTTCCTGTGGCCTGTGTCAGAGTTTGATGGAGAGCTGGTCCCGGAATGGACAGCTGGAACGTTGTCAACGGAGGATTCTGGCCTCAGTTGATAAGCTCTGTGTCATAGCTGTGCTCTGTTTACTGTTAGACTCCAGGTTGCGCCTGCTTTTGTGTGGTGGTGTGTCTGTTGTGTAAGATCAAAAAAATTTCATCCGGCCTCTCCACATCATGCTTAAAGGAAGACTTGTCGCAAGAAGAAAGAAAGAAGAATAACATCAACATTGGTCATCAGATATATGAAATATACTGGCAGCCAAGACGTTTTAGTTTTCAATTTATATGGAATTTCAAATATGTCTTTGGCTTAAGAAACACCATCCTTATTAACTGATAACCAACGTTTCTTCAACAACAAACTTCCTGCTGTCAACTTCTTGTTTAGGATATTGTAGAAATTGTTGCAGGCTTTTGAAGGCAATACCAATTAAGAAGGGGACAGATTATAGCAGCCAATATGGTATTGTTATGATCTGTTGTTTTAGCTGAATGCAAATGACCTTTCTGTGGTGATTGTGTTACAGATTTTGCACCCAACACACTATGAAAGGAACGTCCAAGGCTGCCTTCTTTACTACCTTTATCAAGAGCTTATATGTTCTTGTTTGTCATTAGTTATGAATTTTACATTTAAGTTCATTTGTTACCATTGCTGAAGCTGCTTTTTTTGTCTTTCATCTGTGGCTGCTTGCCAAAGCATTTGTAATTCGCACACTCCTGCTGGGTAAACTTTTGCCAGTACACTATTTAAGATTGGATAACAATGTATCAGTACCGGATATGAATCCTCAATATACTGTATTTTGCCCAGCCCAACAATTTTTTTTGGGCTCTATTTGAAATTTAATCTGGAAAAGTTTGGACAGGTTGATCTCACCTAATGCAGATTTTCTGCAGGTTTTTACTTGAATTATTTACGTAATAACAGATGAAATGCATCAGGTTGTGGGCTTATTAGACTAAGTTGTACCAAAACGGTACTGAAAAACTGTTTTTCTGGTTTGACATGTTATGGATCCCTCTGCAGTACTACTGCTTGTAAGAAATGGGTCGACTGCCTCATCTCTCAGCAACAGCTTTGCCTGGCAACGCTGAGTTCCGGTGGACGGTTCGAATCATCACCCACTGTCCTGTCGCCACCAGGCGCCGGAATCCTCCGACCCCTCCAAACCACAAGGGCACGCATTT